GTCATAGCATGTTCTTTTGATTTTTCTTTGTCTGTTCAGTTTTTCTAGTTACCTTTCCTGCTCAATGCTACCAACAGCCTCAACTCACTTCTATACCAAATCCTTCTTCTCTCCTCTAATGTGATGCTTCGAGTGCTCTTCATAAATGGGTCAGGGAGGTCAGTGAACTGTGCATAAACTAAGAGTAAGTGAGAAGTGAGTGAGGCCAAGGGCTCTGCTGTGTGGATAACACAGGAGCTTCTATGCCTGAACTTTTTTTTCTTCCCAATCGGAGATCACTGTGGCTTACTTCTTGGTTGTAAGATGGCTATCCTGACTGTAGGGTAGGTATCTTAGCTTTAGAGAGGTCAGGTGGTGCCATAGTTTTTAGATGCTCTGAGTCAGGTGCCATGCAGTTCAGGAAGGAGGAGAAGTAAAACCCACACGTACTAGAGCAGGGAACATGCCTTATGCAGCTCTGTGGTCCTGGGGCCCAGCTCAGTGCCAGACAACATTGAGGTGCTCAGTTAATGAATGAATGATGTCCTTTTCACAGTCACCTTAATGCAGATTTTGAAGTTTTGGGCTTGCATACAGTTATTCCCTTCGGATTTCTCTCTCCCTCTCTCTTCTCTGGGAAGTCTTCTCTTCCCTTTAGATCATGTTCATTTTCCCTGCAATATGTTGCAATGTATTTCATGTAACTCTTAGATGTAAAACAGCCATGAAAATATACATTTAAAAACCCCTCTTTTAATGCTAGCTGAAATAAGTCAGAGAAAGACCAAATACCATATGATTTCACTTATATGTTGAATTTAAAAAACAAAATAAACAACAAAAAAATAGAAACAGACTCATAGATACAGAGAACAGACTGATGGTTACTAGAGGGGAGGAGGATTGGGGGAACTAGGTGAAAAATGTGAAGGAATTAAGAAGTACAAATTGGTAGTTACAAAAGTACAGCATAGGGAATACAGCCAATAATATTGTAATAACTCTAAGGTGCCAGGTGGGTACTAGAAATATTGGGGTTCTCACTTTGCAAAGGATATGATTGTCTAACCACTATGCTGTACACCTGAATCTAATACAAAAGAATATTGAATGTAAACTGTAATGGAAAAATAAAATTGAAAAATTCAAACAAAAGACCTAATCAGATACAAAAATAACAAAAAAATATAACCCACTTGTAAAACCTTCCAAAAATGCTTAGAAACATTTGCACTTTTAGGAGAGGCTGCTTGTAGGTCAAAATGAAACCCTAAGTAGTAGAATTAGTGTAAAATGAAATAGTTCATACATTTCTGGTGTAAAATCTATTTAAAAGGCAATTTGGAAACACAGATCAAGGGCCTGAAAAATGCTTGGTCCATAATGCCACTTCTAGGAAGTTGTCCAAGGAAAATAACCTTTTCACACAAACATTTGTGTTAAAGAGTATTTATTACATAGTGGGTGCAACCCTTCCTGTCCTAATCCCCTGGAGGCGTGGTGAGCACAGCGCCACCTCTGCTGAGAAGGCTTCGGAGAGCAACTCCCTGGCTCTGGGATCTGAGGCTGCCAGAGAGACCTTCTCTTTTCAGCCAGTTAACAGTCTCCATAAAGTATGTGGCCCCAGGAATACTGCCTTTGGTCTATTTCATTTTCTCTTCAGATTAAAGAAAAAGAAAAAAAGTATAGTCTATTTAGATAGGCAGAGGGGAGATAGGGAAAAATAAACAGAATATTTCCTTTTCTTTTTCTTGTTTTTCGTGTTTTTTTTTTTTTAAGAGTAGTCTCCCAGACTGAGTCCAGAACTCTACGTATTAAGAAGATCTTGTTACACAATGTTCACATTCTTAATTGCTTACAGTTCTATTTCTTCTTAAGTCAGGGTAATTTGGTTTAGAATACAACAGGCCTTATTTGTATGGCCGTTTTGGGTACATCCCCAAGAACTTTGCTTGTAGGGAACTAACCAAACATACATTTGCCTTTCCTCTCCTCTTTTAATAACACATCCTTCATCATTTCCATTGAATTCAATTATTTTTCATTGCTTTCCCGACCAATTCCCTATACAAATTACGTCTTCCCTTTCCCCTCTTTCACACTGTTTATCATAACTCGCAAATATGCAACTGTTTGTGCGTCTATTTCTTTAAGGCCTGTCTCTCTTCCTAGGCAGCACGGGGAGGTCTGCTTCACACTCTATACCCACAGCCTGCCACTCAGTGGGTAGTTATCAAACACTGCCCAACAAATAGATCAATACACAAACACATTTGATTTTGAAAAAAATGATGAGAATTCATAACAATGTGGGCATCTGATCTTCCCTAATGTTACCTTTAGATCAGCAGAAATTTTTGTGATTGTTCAGAGAGTGTAAGTGAAAAGTGATTTAAACCTCAGACGAAATGCATGTAAATACAAGTTTGACTTGCAATCACCTATGAATTGTATTCTGTGATACAGACTTTTTTGCTCTGAACTTTGGAAAGGGGTTAACTCTTGCTAAGAAGAATGCAAAAGACTGTATTATAGTAGAAAGCGAAAACCAACCACTCCTTTACCCCCAATAGCAGCAAAGAAAAAATACATCTGAAGCAAACCTTTCCAGAAATTATAGGAAATAATATTAATAAAGCATAAGCTCAGTTAATATAGCAACACTCCATTAATGGCATTTCCTCACTGATTTCTAAAAAACAAAGACGATATAATTTTTTTTAATTCTATAGGCTTTCTGTATTGTTACAGATTAATTAAATCTTTTTTTAAAATAAGCTATTCATTATATTTTTTCTTGCTTTCTAAATCTTGTCTCACTGTTTGAATGAGTTAGAATGAGGGAGAAACAAATAGAACAAACCAAAGTTATGGAGAAGGCATATGTGTGTGAACTTTATTTCATCATGAGAAAATCACTTCTGTGCAGTAACAGAGGATACTGGTTTCTACACGATGATAAGGTTGTCTTTGTAGTTAGATACATACCTTATATTTGTATACAATATATAAAATTCATGGAGGAAATTATTTCTACAGCACAGTTTCTTTGTTGGAAGAGGACTTGTTCCATTAGTTTCTTTTAGAAAACGACCCCCAGTTCTGTGACTGTGGTACCAAGGATCGCAGTTCCAACTTTGTGATTTATTAGACACCGCAATCTTATGGACATTAAGTGAAAGCTACAAACTACATCCTCCTGCAGGATGAAAAGAGAGACGTGAGTGCTCAAGCTGCGAAGCTGATAACTGATTTTAGCAGAAAAGTATGATTTCCACGATGTATTAGGAGTAGAAGTAGTGTCCCAGTAAGTCTGATGACATGGATTAGTAACATTAGTAGCGAATGGTCTCCCTGCTCTGATGGCATGCACCTCACCCTTCAGTCACACATCCTGTACACATGGAAATGAGGCCATCACCCTGCAGGGCCTTCTGCATTGCATCTCCGAGGAACTCTCGGAGGGCAATAGCAGTTACCATGGGACTGTGGGGAAAGAGGCAGCTGCTCTCAAGCTGATAGGTCAACCCAGAGAGAAGATGCTAAAATGGTCATCCCAGGGAGACTCTAGCTACCACATCCCTGTAATCCAAATGGAAATAGACCGCGTGGACATTTTTCCCTTGAAGAAATCCTTCTCTTTGAATACCATCCCTCGCAGACTTACGACTGCGCCCCACACATGGTTTTCATGGCCAGGGGCCTATCAACCGTGTTGTGGGATTTGAAGTTGTGCTTGTTTTTAACCATGTGAACCATTTCAGGGGCGATTGGCACAGGCTGAGGTTTGTGGAAAGTGTGTGTGTGTGTGTGGGGGGGGGGGCCCACCACCATAGTTCTTTTAGCTAACTGACAGTGGTCGGCAAACTCATTAGTCAACAGAGCCAAATATCAACAGTACGATTGAAATTTCTTTTGAGAGCCAAATTTTTTAAACTTAAACTATATAGGTAGGTACATTGTTATTAACTTAATTAGGGCACTCCTAAGGCTTAGGAAGAGCCACACTCAAGGGGCCAAAGAGCCGCATGTGGCTCGCGAGCCGCAGTTTGCTGACCACAGAGCTAACATCTTGAATTTGACCCAAATCAACATAATTAATTCTGCAGAGGGACGTTATGGAGAATGCCAGTAGTGTGGGGTCTTCCATGATTAAAATCATACCCAGAAGGTATGATCTGGCACCAACCACAGATACCTCTTCATCGGCTGGAGTTCATGGGTTGCAATTGCTTTTAAAATGAAAATGTTAAGAGCCTCAGAGGTTATACCTGGCCATCTGAGCTGGATGGCTTGCCTTCGATGACCAAAAATATTTACAGACCAAAATATCTAGAGACCGACTTCATACAGTGGCCCTAGGCATTCTGACCACGCCTAGAGGGACTGGCAAAGACGAAATCGCAAGGTAATGCGCAGTTGCTGGTCTCGTCCTGTCTGGTGCCCACAGGAAGTCTCAGTCCTGGTGCTGCCGGCCTGGGCTTGGGTGTGAAATGGAAGCAGTCCATGCTGGGTGCGCAAGAGTGGCGGGCAGGCCCTCTCTGAACAGCTCCAGCACCCCACCCATTGGCACCAGGGTGGGTCAGACACATCCGCAGCTGGAAAGAACCTCAGCCCACCCCCGGGAACAAGCAAGCACTGACAGGCGATTGAGAAGCATCTGGGCAACACTGGCAATGGTGTGGATGGTGGGGAAGGGGAGCCTGCCCTAGAGCCTAGACACATTGGTCTCAAATGCGGGGGGACCTTCAGGCCTTTGCGTTTCAGCTTCTTCACCTGCAGCTTATTTAGAGCGTTATCAAAGGAAGCCGACGGCCCGAGCCATTTGAACTGCCGCTGTGGACTCTTTGGTTTGACACATCCACACACCACGGGCTCCCCAGCGCCGGAGAGGACCAGCGGCCTGGGCCAGGGCGCAGAGCGAGTCATGGCCACACAGCGGAGTGCGGCACTGGCGGGGCTACCTCCGGCTTAGACGCCTCGCAGCTCTCGCTCTGAGGGATACTGCTGAAGGGCCTTACCCTCGGACGTCTGGAGGACCAGGGTCTTGCTGTACTGGCTGACTCCTGTTTTGTTGAAGGCCTTGACGCGAGCGTTGTACGTGCTGTTGAAGTGAAGACCATCCACGGTGCACATGGTCTCCTTTCCGACATACACTTCCTGAGGGTCGACAAATAACAGGCCACCATTTAACGGGAACCCTCGGGAGGCGTTAGGGGGTAGTGTTGCCCAGTGGTTAGGGGGAAAGTGCTTGGGCATCAGATCTGGCTTTGACTCCTGTGAGCTATTGGGCCATTTAACTGACCTCTTTTAGCCTCAGTTTCCTCACCTGGAAAATGGTTATAGTAATACTCAGCTTATGAGGTTAGTGTAAGGATTATATGAGGCCATATAGGCAAACTGACTAGCACGGTGCCTTGTATTTAGCATGGCAGCTTAATGAATGGGAGTTATTAGCAGCTAGGGCTTAAAAAATTAAAATTGGGTGTCAGAGATAGCATTGTACTTGTTATTATTAGCATAGCATTTACACAGTGTATTATACCTATGAGCTCTTTATCCATCAGTGTGATTTGTAAACAACAGATCTGAAAACATGAGGGTGGTCTCCATGCTGTGTTTATAACTCCAATAATGACTTCAGGAACTGTTGCAAGGACTATCCACTCAAAGCCATAGGAGTATAGGTTTTCATCACAGTACAGAATGAAGGGGGAGGAAACAGGGAAGGGAGAAAGAATGACATTTCAAAGGCTGAAAATAAATCCTAGCATTATGCATGTTTAGCAAAGGTTAGGCATCTGCCTCCCTCTTTAGCTGCACACTTTGCAACATTATGCTGAGGTAATGAGTAAAAATAATTCACGTTCAAAGCACAGCCTTAAAACGTCAACTCTCTGGTGGGACACTAAGGAGATTGGAGTCTGGGATGGCAGCATGCTAAGGGTTTTATATGGATGATCTAAATGACTCTTAAGAATGTTATTATTATCACCCCCATTTTACAACTGAGGACATGAAGGCTCAAAGAGGTGAGGAATGGGCAGCCACCAGTTCGGTGGTGGAGTTTGGACTTGAATGTAGGCATTCAGATTCCAGAGCTCACAGCACTGCATAAACTTTCTCTTAAGAAGGGCAGGACCATGCCTGGCTGACGTGGTTCAGTGGTTGAGCATCGACCTATGAATCAGGAGGTCATGGTTTGATTCCCGGTCAGGGCACATGCCTGGGTTGCAGGCTCGATCCCCAGTCAGGGGTGTGCAGGAGGCAGCCAATCAATGATTCTCTCTCATCACTGATGTTTCTCTCTCTCTCTCTCTCTCTCTCTCTCTCTCTCTCTCTCTCTCTCCCTCTTCCTTCCTCTCTGAAATTAATAGAAGAAGAAGAAGAAGGAGGAGGCAGGACCATTTCTATTCAGAGACTCCTTCGTTCATCTCTGATATGGTACAAGGAGAAAGCAGGCCTCAGCTGAGGGTAGGCAGACCCTGCCAGAGAGTATGTCCCCAGGAGGGGAGGGAGAGTGGGCCTGAGACTGCACGGCGGGGCACTGAGGAAGTCACTGGTTCTGGTTAACCAGGAACAGGCTCTCTGCTTACCCGGAACTGACCACCATTGCCATCATCCAGCTCCAGAATGTATCCCTCAGCGGGCACCGTGGACAGAGGCGGCTGCTTCCAGGACAGCGTGGCGCTGTTGTTGTGGGTGCAGCACTCCTCCAGCTGGAGGATGGGGGTCGCTGGGACTGGAGAGGAAGCTAAACAGAAATTAGTGTAACCCTGGCTTCTGCTGAACTGCAAACATTTCAGTATCTTGGAATGATAAACATTCCTCTGATAAACAAATGACTAGACGAAGTATCTGGCCCAGAGAAGGGGGCGGGGGCAGAGGGGACCTGACCAGGATTCCCTCCCTGCCTCCAGGAGTGGGGCTGCTTCCTGAGCCACTGTGCTACCTTCTCCCAAATCCAGGTGGTACTTCCTCCCTTAACTCAAGGGGAGACGAGTGCTCTGTTCTCACTCCCTTGAGCATCAAAGACACCACCTCTAAGGGAAATGGTTTGCAAGGGGGATACATTTCCAGTCCAGCCCATAAAAGCCTTTTTAACCTATACCATGGCTTATACATCTATCATAATGTTTATTCTGAGCCCTACATCCCAAGTTTATAAACTTGAAATTGCCTATTCCTGAGGAATATCTCTGAAACCACTATATTTCTAAGGTCCTGTCATTTCTTTTAAACCAGTGATTCTATTCAAGGCCTTGTGCATATAAGTAGCTAAAACAGTGTATTTTTGAAAATTTGGTACCAGTTGACACAAACAGTGATTTCTCAGTTTTGAAACTTCTGAGGAACTTTCATCATTCTTTCAAGGTAGCTATACTTTGAAGACAGCACTAGCTCAAGTCAGTTCTTTCTGCAGGCATAGAACCGTCATATGGGAGCTGAGAGAGCAGTATGGGAGCAACAGGGCCTATCAGGGAGGGTCAGGGTGTCCTCGTGACCTTGGGAGTATCTGTCACAGTGTTACTAGTCACAACATAGCCCTGTCTCCGTTTTGTGCTGAGTCTTCTGTGTTACTTAAAACTGACTTCAGACATTCAGACATAGAAATGTTAGGTAACGAATCATGAATCATCCAAGTTCCTATATAAACTCGATATATGCATCTGGGGACAATGTTTTTACCAACTGCTTAACAATTATTTTTCAGCACCAAAATATGAATTTATTTTTGTAGCACTTTAAAATAGGAGATGAGCCCTGACCGGTTTGGCTCAGTGGATAGAGCATTCGCCTGCGGACTGAAAGGTCCCAGGTTCGATTCCAGTCAAGAGCATGTACCTTGATTGCGGGCACATCCCCAGTAGGAAGTGTGCAGGAGGCAGCTGATCGATGTTTCTCTCTCATTGATGTTTCTAACTCTCTATCCCTCTCCCTTCCTCTCTGTAAAAAATCAATAAAATATATTTCAAAAAATACATAACATAAAATAGGAGATGGCAGTTTGGCTCACATCCAGGGACATTTAGATGAACAAAAGCTAATTGTGGAAGAGGTATGCTGTTCCCAAACTGGACTCTGAATGTCATGTATTGAATTAAATCTGCTCCCCTTGCCAGTCACCCCAACCCAGAGGACGGTTAATTTAATAGCAATATAGGAAACAGGTTCTATGCTGGGTAACCTATGAAACAAAAGCAGTGACTATATATACCATGAGAGATGTGAAGGTGAAGCAGGTCAATTATCTTATACTTAAGAAAAGACTGTGATACATTACGAGAAAACCATGCCTGAGTTACTAGAGCAAATATAATTAAATTAAAATTATGACCTATTAATTCAGTGGTTCTCAACCTTCCTAATGCCACAACCCTTTAATACAGTTCCTCATGTTGTGGTGACCCCCAATTTCATTGTTACAAATTGAACATAATTAAAGCATAGTGATTAATCACAAAAATAATATGTAATTATATATGTGTTTTCCGATGGTCTTAGGCGACCCCTGTGAAAGGGTCGTTCGACCCCCAAAGGTTGAGAACTGCTGTGTTAATTGGAGGTGATCAGTTTAGGAAGGGACATCATGTTTCAAGTGTCAATGGCATAGAGTTCAGGTGGATCTTATCAGAGAACAATGGCGTCCTTAGCCCCAGAAATCCCAGAACATCTGGACATGGAGAAAGGAGATACATTCATCGCCTCGTTCAATAGAAAGACTACAGGACTGGATGGAGGAAGGAAGAGAGAGAAGACATAACTCCTTCTAACAATTCTAATGACCATATAAACACAAACAGGTATCACCAATGCGTTGTAATTAGAGGGTTAACTTTAAGAATTTTTTTAAATATGTTTAATTGATTTTCTACAGAGAGGAAGGGAGAGGGATAGAGAGTTAGAAACATCGATTAGAGAGAAACACTGATCAGCTGCCTCCTGCACACCCCCCACTGGGGATGTGCCTGAAACCAAGGTACATGCCCTTGACCGGAATCGAACCTGGGACCCTTGAGTCCGCAGGCCGACGCTCTATCCACTGAGCCAAACCGGTTCTGGCTAGAGGGTTAACTTTAGGTTATTATACATGTTAGGAAATTACTTTGTCATTTAAATATTTTCCATATAAAAGAAATACACTTTAGTATATTAACTGTGGAGTAAAATAAGACAAGTTCAAACTAACCATTCTTCAAAGGGCTTCTAAAGACAAGGAATGATTCTCCTTGGGGATAGTTGCTCTTAACTGGCCATATTGGTTAGAACTTCCATAAATCAACAATTTCTAGAACTCTCTTTATTTCATTAGCTCCCCTATCAGTCTCATTTTACCTTTGTTCATGTTTCAGGAAAGTCTACATGTTATCAATTTTAAAATCAAAGAATAAGGTCACAATAAGAAACCAATAAGGTTTCACTTGAATGTACGAATGCTTGTAATGACTGATAAGAAACTCAAATTTCCCTATATGGACACAGGCATAATTAAAATGTTAATTGAAATACATAGTGTCATGTATAATTAAAACATGTGAACCTCACTTACTAGTATAAGTCCTCAGTGGGTACATTTTAAAAGACCAAAAGGGTAGAAAAAAATCTAACCACTCACTAGTCTTCAGATCTTAACATTGTCCCAGGTTTAAACAAATAAGCAAACAAAAAAGGGGCAGAGAGAGAGAGAGAGAGAGAGAGAGAGAGACTACTAGAGAGACTACTACTATTTGCATAGTCTAAATCTATTTCTCAATGTGCTCAGAATTATTTTTTCTTTTTCATTAATCACCCCAAAGTGAAGTTGCATATAAAAGGCAAATGTGACAACATTACGGTTGACATTTTAGAAAAACATTTGACAGTGGGTGTTATGTTACCCCGTTTTAGTTTATTGGGTATAAAATAAATGGTCTACAAGAATCCAAAGTATTTCCAAATTATTTTACCTTTTGTGGTTTGAAAATGGATAGCATCACAGTTCCTGGGCTGAACTACAAGAAAAAAGGTTTTATTTTATTGAAACTCTTGTTACTGAAGCTACCATAGCTATCTTGATCTTGACACTTTTGTGATCATTCCTAGACATCATTGTGGGTTTCTTTCCTAAAGAACTAATTTCCCCTATCTGATAGAATTCTAGAACTTAGCATTCTTTGAGCCCATAAAATCCAGCTTCAGGCTGAAAGTCTCACCCCTTAGAAAGGGGCAGCTGTTCTTACTGACTTCCTTGAAGGGGCCTGGTAGAGCTATGGCTCAAAATTAAATTTTACAACAGTGTCTTCTTATACCAAAGTTTTCAAGTGTTTTAACTTTTTAAGTCCATTTCGTTCAAATTATATCTCAGATTTTTCACATTCATTTAATATTTCCCCCTAATCCTTCAGATAGTGAACAGTCACAGCCACTCGGAATTCCTCGGTGAAAGGTAGCAGGAGTAGGAGGACACTCAAAGGGAAGTGGGCCTCCCACTATGGACAAGAAGAAATAATGATAGGTGGTGGCCTTGTGCACTTACTGAATGCATGATGGTGGGGTGAAGTTTTACGTGTATTCACTCATTGAATTTTCACAACAACCCCACAGTAACTGGTACTGGTATTATCTCAATTTTGTAGAGGAGGAAACTGAAACAGAAAGGTTTCATGGCTGGTAAGTGGCAGGGCTGGGATTTAGAGCCAAGCTTACACTGCATTCTGCTGCCTCTCTAGTTGGCTGTTTAGTAATAGTGCACTAGAGGGAAGTCCCCACCCTCAATTCCAAAGGGAAGTTTCTTTTTGGTTTCTATATGGGAACGATAAAGCCTCCCAGGAACTGATGGCATGGATTAATGAAATGTTTCACCGCAGCTTACACTGCATTCTGCTGCCTCTCTAGTTGGCTGTTTAGTAATAGTGCACTAGAGGGAAGTCCCCACCCTCAATTCCAAAGGGAAGTTTCTTTTTGGTTCCTATATGGGAATGATAAAGCCTCCCAAGAATTGATGGCATGGATTAATGAAATGTTTCACCATGCAACCCATGGTAGTTGGGAATGCAATTTTGCTGAGTCACCTTGTCTGAAGGTTCCTTTGTGAACTCATTTCTTTTATGGTGGCTGAACAATACAAATGGCATCTAAGGGAAAGTTTAGACTTTAGCAGTGGTTCTCAACCTCTGGCCCTTTAAATACAGTTCCTCATGTTGTGACCCAACCATAAAATTATTTCTGTTGCTACTTCATAACTGTTATCTTGCTACTGTTATGAATCGTAATGTAAATATCTGATATGCAGGATGGTCTTAGGCGACCCCTGTGAAAGGGTCGTTCGACCGCCAAAGGGGTCTCGACCCACAGGTTGAGAACCGCTGCTTTAGAGGAAGCTGTTTCTGGCAAGCCATCACTACTACATTGTCAAGGTTAAACATGAACACAGGTTTTGAGGACATGCCTTTTAGGCCCCCCAAACCATGAACAGATTACATGCATGAACAGATTACATGCAAGTATTATGTGGGCTCGTCTCCGCTGCCAAACCTCTGGGCGAACTTTCTCCATGGTTTATAGGGGAGTCTGTTAAGGTCACACTGTCTTTGCCCATGACCTTGGTACATACTCAGAGCTCTTACATTCAATACCAGTTAATAAAGTTAAATGGGTCTTAGGTGAGTAGAGGCAGTTAGGGGATTCACAGCTGTTGGTATATGTGCTAGAAAGGCTAGGTGGAGTGTTAAGTGACTGTTTCATCTGGTTCAGAATGAACACACTGGTGTTTTACTTCACCACCCAGACTAGTGAATCTTGGGACACTTTGTATACTTAGACATTGTGGGGTAATATTTTTCTGGGAGGGCGTAGGAATCTATTCTGAGCCAAGCAGCAGAGCCCTTTTAGGAAAATAATCTTAAAATCTCCTTCCCATGACCTGGGAAAAGCTGACAATACCAACTTAGAATTAAGGAAAAACTAAACAAACAAACAAACAACCCTCCCAAATACCCCCCCCCCAAAACTAACCACACACAAAAACGAATAAAAACAGAAAACAACGCTTAATCTATTGTTTTTTATAAAAGAAAAGTCTGAGAGATCAAACACCACTCCCAATAGTATAGAAGGAGGATAAGATAATTTTCTAATCAAAATGCAACCAGAGAACATGTCGTTAAAATTTTGGGATGTTTGAACAAAGCAGGTACCAGCAATCTCCACTTAGATCTCAATTGCTTGGGGGTGATGTGAAATCAGAAAGATCAGATTAGTTAAATCCTTAGTTAATAGAATAATTTTAAGCAGTGCATTCTTGCCAAATAGTAACTGGCCTAAATGGAAACATGTGAAAACCAACAACAGAACTATCTTCTTTCATATCAAGAAAAAAAAAAAGGCATCTGAGATGAAATACCAAAACCAAAGGGATGTTAAAATTTTGACTCAAGAAGTAAGAAAAAAAAGAAAAGAAAAAAGTAAGTAGAAATTTTAGCTGTCGGTTTGAGTCATAACTTTAAATGTATATTTTAAGTAATTTGGAAAATATTTTAACTTTCTACTATAACCCACAGTTAGAAGACAATTGGAACCATTAAAAACACTGACTTACACATATTGTTAGTTTCACAGTGTTCAGGTTCCTTAAAATGCTATTTAAATTTTGGTCATTTATACATGGATTTTGGGGTGCAGTTTCTTTTTCTTTTAAATATATTTTATTGATTTTTTACAGAGAGGAAGGGAGAGGGATAGAGAGTTAGAAACATTGATGAGAGAGAAACATCGACCAGCTGCCTCCTGCACACTCCCTACTGGGGATGTGCCCGAAACCAAGGTACATGCCCTTGACCGGAATCGAACCTGGGACCCTTCAGTCCTCAGGCCGACGCTCTATCCACTGAACCAAACCGGTTACGGTGGGGGTGCAGTTTCTTGAGATATTTTTTTACTGATAAGCTATGAAAGTGCAGTTTATTAAATGACTGCAAATATACTAAAAAATAAAGTCTAAAGCTACACTGATACAGATGTCTAGATGTTAACAGATATCAAAGAGGCCAGTGGAAGTCTTCACAACAGCCAGTCAAGTTCCAGGGCATCCTGAGCTTTGGCTTTTCCCTTCCATCGCAAGCATCTGACAGATAAACATGATTCAGATTCTAAAGAGGAATGGCTCTCACTGAACTAAACTTTAAGGAGCACAAAACAAAGCATATAAATGAACTCTGCAGAGGGACACCAATCAGAAGTAAATTACATTAAGATGAAGTGTTAAAAAGAAAAGGAGAAGGGAATAATCCAGCCTCCTCTGCAATGGCCTATTATATCACCTTCATACATGACTGTTCTGCATAATGTTGTGTCCCGGCTGAACTTGTGCTGTGTGTTGTGCATTTGGGCCTATAGAGAGCTTGGCCCTCTCTGCTGTATGCACAGCATAATGGGCTGTCCACACAGCTGGGTCCACGCTTCTCTCTGGTGCTGCCTGAACAGCCGAGTGACGATGCTTTAGGAATGAGGTCTGTGAGGCCTAGTCCATAAACCTGAAGTTCCCAGATAAGATGAAGGGCCTGTGCACTCCAACACAATGGTTACCATCCTATCAAGTGGCCTGGTCTCCACGGCGGGCAGAAGGACAAGACTCAGTGACAGTGAATGGGGGAGGAGAGGCCCTGCCAGCTGATAGAAGCTCTTCAGCGTCTGGAGGCTCACATCCTCCACCTGTCCCTCCTCTCCTGCCCCATCAGCACGGCTAACCGGGTTGGCTCAATTTTTTTCTCTCCCACCAAAAGCCCTTACATTGTCCTTTTGTGACATATTTTCTCCTTTGAGCTGCTTGTGACATAACCTTTGAACGATTTTACCTCCTTGAAAGAATTGGGTACAGAGAGATGCTGATGGAGGGGCTCTAACCACTACTCAGATGGCTGTATTTCACAGGCTACTGCATAGGTGTTAAAGAAAAAAATTATTTTTATTTATTTAAAAATATTTTTATTGATTTCAGAGAGGAAGGGAGAGGGAGAGAGAAACATCAATGATGAGAGAGAGGATTATTGATTGGCTGCCCCCTACATGCCCCCTGGGGATGAAGCCTGCAACCTGGGCATGTGCCCTTGTCCGGAATTGAACACGGGACCCTTCAGTACGCAGGCCGACGCTCTATCCACTGACCCAAACCGGCTAGGGCATATTTATTTATTTTAAAATACGTTTTTATTTAATTTGAGAGAGAGAGAGAGAGAGAGAGGGAAACATCTGCCTCCTGCACACCCCCACTGGAGATCTAGCCGGCAATCCAGACATGTGTCCTGACCAGGAATCGAACCGCTGACCTCTCAGTGCACGGGACAATGCTCAACCAACGAAGCCACATCAGCCAGGGAAAAGAAGAATATTTGAACAGCAAGAAAGAGTTGCTGCAACAAAAAACTAAATTTCTAAGTTTCAGAGAGGAATTTAGTGATTCCTGGAAGAAGCCGCTTAGTAAGGCACTAGCTTTGCAGTACAAACGGGAAGCAGCAGGTGTGGATTCCGCAGCCACGCTCCCTGGCTTTGAATCCGGGGCCTGGCACTCACTAGCTGGGTGAGTCTAGGCAAGTAACTCAGTCTTCCTGTGCCTCAGTTTCCTCAGCTGCCTCGTAGCGCGGTGAGAATAAAATGAGTTAATCCACGGAAAGCACTAAGAAGAGTGATTTGGTAAGCAGTCTACAAATGCTAAGCATTCTTGTCACTGCAGCAGAGCATTTTTGTTTGCAGTCTATACTCTACTTCAGTGTGAATGAGGGCATTGTCCCATAGCAATACATAGTGAACAACGAAATGAGAAAACTGGAAATAAAGGAGGGTAAAGATCCATTAAGAAGCTACACTTCACTTCGTGACGTGGGCCATCAGCACATGGCCCTACACCTTGCAGAGTTACATGGTTCTGTCTGTCTGATAAAGGAAGCATGTAGATTTTTCCTAGGAGACAAAAATTTTAAAGTACGTGTCTTTCAAGTCATTTATTATGTGAATGCTTAAGTTGGGAGGAGCAAAGAGAAAATCAATTTCTTACGGAAATATCAGAAAGTGACTAATCATGCAGAGAACAGACCCATGACTGCCCGGGGTTGGGGATGTGGAGGGAGGGGTGTGGCTGACTGAAGGGGGAGCCCGAGGGAGCTCTCTGTGGTGATGCAATAGTTCTGCACCTCGACCTCAGTGATGGCTACCCACCTGACAAAATGGCGGAGGACTAGACACACACAATGTGCCAATGTCGACTTCCTGGTTTTGACATTATTTGCTAGTTATGCAAGATGTAACCATTGATAGAAACTGGATTAAAGGTACACCGGGCCTCTCCTTACTATTGCAACTCCCTGTAAATATATAATTATTTCAATATAAAAAGTAAAAAAAAATCCTATCAGAAATATTTTTCAAATGGATATGACTTACGCTGCCATTAAAATATCATTGCATGATTGGTTTGAGTTTTAATTTTGATTTGAAAGCGTTAATTTCCTTAAGATAATTTTAAGTATGTTTCCTTTCCCTCAGCCACCCCCAAATCTCAGAAATATTGCCATAGCCTTTAATCACATAAATAAAAACGTTAACATTTATTTCAAATTTTTATTTTCTTCATCCAGGCCCAATTTTTCTGACCAGTACTGGCAAGCCGCTGATCCTTCAGTTTCCCACTAATCCATGTCCAATCATTTGCTCACTGTCTACCCATGGGGAAGCAGTCATTGCAACTCTGAACTCTCTTGATTTTTGTCAATATTTCTGGGTTACTTTTTTAAAAAAATATATTTTGTATTTCTTTATTGATTTTAGAGAGGAAGGGAGAAGGAGAGATAGAAACACCAATGATGAGAGAGAACAACCGATGGGCTGCCTCCTCCACACCCCCCACTGGGGATCGAGCCCACAACCCAGGCATGTGCCCTTGGCTGGAATCGAATCTGGGACCCTTCAGTCCACAGGCTGACGCTCTATCCACTGAGCCAAGCTGGCCAGGGCCTGGGTTACTTTTTTACTTTTTGCAATAAGATAACATTTATGTACTGTGATTCTCTCTCTCTCTCTTCTCTTTCTCTCTCTCTCTCTCTCTCTCTCTCGCTCTCTCTCTCTCTTCACCCCCCCCCCCCCGCTGTTCTCTGATGCTGAGCCTCTGAAATCCCTAAGATTCTCAAACTGACAAGCACTGAGTTTGTTCTGAGAGGTAGGTTACACAGCTACCAGGTACGTGTCCATTACACAGTAAGACAGGAGCCATTCCGGGTTTTGTAACATTAACCACAGGCGTGTGTGTTTACCTTCCCACCTCTCAGGTGATTTATAAACCTGGCAGCTGCCTTTTGTTTGCCTGGACCCTGCTTCAAGCACCAGTCTCCACTCGGCTGGTACTATGACTGGGGGGACCCAGGCACCCACCTTTCATCTGCACGAAGTCGAGCTGGTGAATGGACTGCAGCAGAGGGCTGTTGTCCAGACTCAAGTCGAAGTCTGTGGTCATCCTGGGAGTGAGCGTGCCTTTCCCCCACTGGTCCTCAGTCAGGTGCACTCTCCTTATGAGGGCGTCAGAAATCTAGTCACATCAAAGACCACAGCCTAAGAAATACACCACCACACTGGCCACAGGACACTGCCCTCAACTCTGCCCGAGTGTCACCAGCAACCTTTCTTGGGACTCACACCTTCCTGACTCTGTGCAGGTGGTGAGGAGCCGGTAAGGGTGAGGGTGACCCATGATTTATCAGGCAAATCTGGACACTTTTGTGAGTCAGAGGGGGTGATATAAAAATCAGCAGCTGTTAATGGGTCTAATAGACAAACCTGGATGGATGATTATGCTGTTTAGGACAGATCAGCTTAAAGCCAGCAACATTAAATAATGCTATGTTGCTGACTAATGACTCCTACTAGAACCAACAACCCTGATTCTCACCTGAGGTGTGGGTACCCTGTCATAATTGGAAATGAGTAGTTTAGAGAGGCTGCCTATGATAACCTGTAGAATGGGATTTGTTACACTTTAAGACATCAACCTCTTCATGTATCACTCTATTCTTTGGCAGAGAGCGCTTTCATTTCTTATATTTAGTCTCTGTCATTCTTGGCCAGTTTGACAGGAAGTGACTTGCAAGTGATCTACATATTCCTTAATGAAAGGTCCCTTAACCATTGGGATTGAAAGTTAAATAAAATTCAACTGACATCATAGCATCTCACTAAAACAACTAATACTGAAGAAATCACGAGACATCCAAGGAATTGAAAAATGTCACTTTTGGGGGGGGGCCGGAAATCATGGACATATTGACAGTAGGAGGTGTCAAGAAGATAGAAACCTTTCATACTTAGGACTGGTTGGAATCTGGCCTTGGTAGAGTCAATCTCATGGGGCATTGAGGATCTGAAGCAGAAACTAATTGATACTTACCTGCAAAAAGCCACTAGGATCATTTTCCTTTATCACCTCCAGGCAGTACTCCATGAGACCCGTGGTCTGGCGCAATTTCACTGTGCAGTGAGAGATCTGGTCTCGAACCACCTAGGATCGATGACAGAACAGAATGGTCCAAAAATGGCAGAGTAGAAAAGAAGCAAACCGGGACTTTGGAAAGCTTCTTCAAACCAGAATCCAAGAGCATCATGGAGCAAAACTGAATTTATGAGACTATTTTGTGGCAATGTCTGCTGTGGACAACGACCCCAGAGGACAGCCTGGATAATGGCTCTTACAGGAACTTGTAACAACAGGACCCACCAGAAAGTCTTGCAGATTGAAATCATGAGAACCTGGCTACCTTGGTACCTCCAAGGACATCTTCCACAGGTCCCCCTTACTCTCCTCTTGGGAAGCGGATGGCCCTGAGCTGCTGGAAGTGGGGGGTCACAGAGAGTTTGTGAAGGAGCTGAGCCACTTGAGGTTCGGCTGCAGATCCCGCGCTGGAGCACAGTAACCCACCTTCTCCCACCGCTTCTTCTTCCTTCTAAACAGTAGACATCACCTGAACCCAGTTCCTGTCTCAATCTGACTCTTCAGGTGGGTGGTGGAGTGGGGGTGGAGGTGGGACTTGTTGGAAAACAATGAGCTAATGACCAGTAAGCCAGAGAGAGATGGCTGCAGAATTAAGTTTTAGGAATAACCTACTTAGAATCAGCTCATTTTGGAAAGCAGTTTTAAAGGCTGTCCTATTTGCCAAGCTGTGAGTCAGCTTTAACCTAGAAAGGCAGTTTCTGCGTCTGGGAAGTTGTCTCTGCTCAGTGTCAAACGCAGGACAGCCCCTGAAAAGTTTCTTTCTTCAGAGATGTTCATCCTGTGTGTCCTCTGCTCAGTGACCCAAATCCTGAGGTGGTTTCTGAAGCACAGAGTTGAACAAGATTTTCCTGGGAATCGCAATCACTCACATGCGGATATTCATGCTACTTTGCAAAAGCCTCAGAAACATCCAGCAGTCCAGATTTCATAGATAATAACTACAGGAGTTTAACTAATTATTTGATGTCTTTTCCTTGTTCCCTCTTTCCATTTGTTATTATAAATTTATTTTCCTTTGAAGATTATTACATATACTTTCCAAAACAATTGAAAGGGAGATGGGGAAAAATCAAATCATCTCACCTCTCTTTATTTTTTCTTTTTAATAAATACTTTTTCTCATAGCATGCTCATCATAGCATCTGGAGGGATACCACTAATGAATTTTTAGTCTAAGTAAATATTAACATTCTATTTCTCCTGGTTCAAGAAATTCTTTTAAAATATAATGTATACTATCCCATCACAGTTTAAAAACAATTCCCCTAATTATGAGGTAATCCATTTTTTTTCTATTTGAGGTACAAGTACTTTAAAGATGCGTGCTTGAATTTATTCTTCACAGGTCATTTTGGTCAATGGGGGAGTTTCTATGTGTACCATCATGTCTTAAAGCAGTGGTTCTCAACCTTGGCTGCACATTTGATTCACGTGGGAATCTTTTTAAAATCCTGATTTCTGGGCCTCATCCTCCGGAAATTCTGTTACTTTGTTACTAATGTTGTGGCCTCATTTGTGAGTTACAGGTAAAGCACCTTGGCCATTAGATTCATTGAATACAATAAAGAATTCTCCTGTTATTTTCCTAGAGTTGAATGTTATCTCCCATATTATCATTACATTCACTGAAACTTTTTTTTTTTTGAGAAAGAACATCTTTATTTGGTCACATGCCACCATACAGACCTTCTGTGACTTTTGCTCCTACATGGTGGGAAGCAGAGGACCACAGAATTTGCCAAATGAAACTGAAAGGAATTGCCCATAATAACAGGCTTGCAATCAATAATAATTGTGGCTTAATTATTAGAGTTGGGCCCCTAACGAGTTCTGATGAGAGCAGCTGACGGTTTGAAGTTGTTTACAGTGTGCCTAATTTTTCCAAATGTCTTCATTCTAATAGATTAATTGAACTCTTAGCCAGTAGTAGTTTTATTGGGATTGAGCTGATTATTGGCTTAAATTTGTTGTCTTTTCTTTCTAGTAATAGCTGTAGCCAGTCAAATGCTATATAATTATTTTAAAATTCTTTGTGAACTTGAGCAGATATTCCTTCTTCCCTTTCTTCTTTCTTCCTTACCTCCCTCCCCAATCAATCTCTCTCTCTCTCTCTCTCTCTCTCTCTCTCTCTCTCGCCTATTATGAATCAATGGTAAAATAGCTGAAGTAAGCAGTTTGACAAGCCAATAATATCCCTAGTGTAAATTTGTACTCAGTGATATGGCCATATAAGTAGTTTTTAACAAACATAATGGGACCATAACAGGAAATACATAGTAAATAATAACAAAGATAATGATGATGATAATAATAATGATTCTCACAAAATACAACAGTACAGTAAGATTCAAAATCAAGCATTCTATAGATAATTACAATTGGGATATGGAGACCCTCTATAAATATGAAAAGCTACATAAAACAGTTAGCTTTGTCAATATCCCTCGACATTCTCACTGAGTAATTTTGTTGGTATGTTTTACCAACCACATATGGAAATTAAAGAATATACTTTCCCAGAATATTTTTGAATAACCATAACTTTCTTTTTCCAGAGGCTCTTGGAGTTGAAAGGTAATTAAGACACCTATCACACACTATTCAACATATGAATTCATTAAAAAATATTGGAGATAGAGAGGGGACATTGGGGGGATAAGGACACATTTGTAATATCTTATTCAATAAAGGGAAAAAATACACTTAAGATTATTTCAAATTCTGAACATTACATAAATAACAATAATTATCTGATATTTCTTTGGGTTTAGCAAATGAAAACTAGCATTTGTAAAGTTCCTGAGAAAAGCATAGATCTCATTAATGAGACAATTTACTGTAACTTGTCACAAATTCCCTGTGAGGATCTCACAGAGAGGACAATACTTAGGGCCTTACTCAGCGAGGGAAGACCTGGGAAGGTTGTTAACAAACATGCAGACAGGACAGGCACCTGGGATCCAGTCTATCTGTTCATCAGGAGGATATTGCCCAGGAGTTCCAAATATGACCTGGTAATATTTCTTGAAAGTTCAAAAGCTTTCCTTCTCTCCAGTAGCTTTCAGACATTTGCTTTAGTTCACCACATCCTGAAAATAGATATTTGGCTCCCAGTGCTTTTTTCAAATCACAAAATAGTATCAACTGTGATTTACATTTCAAATAGTTTTCCTAAAATATGGCCACATCTGCATATGTCTCAAAGCCTTTTTTAAAAAAAGCTTTTAAAAATAGCTCACCCAACTTTGTGAACTATTTTGTAGGATGATCAATTATAAACTCAGGCCACTAAAGAATGTCTGAGGTTCAGAGACAGTGACACCCATGCATAGGCTAATTCTACACTATAAACTACTAGAGGCCCGGTGCACGAACTCGTGCATAAGTGGGGTTTTTCGGCCTGGCCGGTGATTGTGGCTGCAGGAGGTTGGCTGTGGGAGCGCACTGCCCACCAGGGGGCAGCTCCTGCGTTGAGTGTTTTCCCCCTGGTGGTCAGTACGTATTGACCGGTCGTAACCGTTGCTTAGGCTTTTATATATATAGATGGTTTATGAAGAGTAAGCCTCTAGGAGCCCTTCTTCAGTGTGCTGAGGGAAACCAGACTTTCAGTCATTCTCTCTCCTTAATAACATCAATAATAACAGCAAATACTTTTTGGGTACTGTGTTCAGCGTTTTTCAATGTCAGATGAAGTGATGACTACTTCAGCCTTATTTTACAGGTAAAAGAAATGGAGACTTAACACTTGCCCACAGTTACAGACCCAGTAAATGATAAAGGGTGTCCTCAAACCCCATTCTCTCTGACACAGACACTGACTGGGCTCTTCACCACCCAGCTCCGTCTTGCCTCTGAAGCAGAACTGCTCCATGTGCTCAAGCCATCAGCGCTCTCAGAGAGGGCCTGAGCAGACTGTAAAGGCTGCCTTTATACACGCTCGCTCTCCAGCACCCCCAGCCTTTGGGATTGCTCAGGAAGAGAAAGTTGCCAGAACACACACACACACACACACACACACACACACACACACACACACACAACTCTCCTCTTTGTCAGCAAAAAGCTTCCCCAGAGAACTCGGCCAAAGGAAGCGGAAGACCATAAGATGATCCCTGCCGGACTGTGAGGGATGGGTTAGCCAACAAAGACAGCAAGAACTGTGCTTGGCAAGTGATGTCCCTGAAAGGCCAGTCCTTTCTCACAAATCCGAGTAGCAACAGAAGTGACAAGAAAGGGAAAGGGCAGGAGGAGAACAGCAGCGCGGGAGACAGGGAGGCTGGCGTCGGCACTGCTGGCTGTTTTTAGAAGCAGTGACAGATACAATCAGCTGAAACAGCAGAGAAACAAATCGCTCCAGACAGAAGACAGAACAGCTTTGCTGCCGCGGGGGACACCCAGCCACCTGTCTCCGGTTTCCATGGCCCTTTGGGATCTGGGGCAGGGAACTCCGCCCTGGGCAGAGTGAAATGAGGGCAGGCCCCTCTGCTCAGCAGCCCCCAAGAGCTTTAGTGCGCCCTGCGGGGCGGAGTCCCAGTGATGCGTTAAAACCGCTCCTGTGTGGTCTCCATCTGCATCCACAGCACAGCCTGTACCGCGTTTTCATACAGTACCATCTGCAGAGGCAGCACTAAGGAGGGGCCTGGGGAGCTTCATGCCCCTCTGCCACCTTTTGATATAAATAAGTGATGCTTTCTTAATCTCTCATTTCCTCTTCCATCCAGATTCCTGCCCTTACATCGTCCCAAATAGGAAACTTGAAGTTGCCACGATAGTCACCATCCATATAATTTATCACAAACTGTTCGCTGTGTTCCGTTTTATAATGCCAGGAAAGTGTCTACAACATTTTAGAGAAGACATTTCATTGAGAAAACATTACAATGTTATGGCTAGATACTAAAACCATTGGCCCATTATTTAGGGAAAACCCCAGCTGTACGGCTCATTTCCTAAAGACAACTGTGTTTTTATTTTAGATCACTCTATGTGATTGATTCAAAAGGTTATCTTGAGTTCTGCTATAGCAACCAGAGTTCTGGCTTTCTGAAGCTGCTAAAATGAAGGGCTAGAGTGGCGATCGGTTAATAATGGCAGAGCAGCGACAGAATCAGAACACGTGGATCAGTCCTCATGACTACCCGGATGGAGCAAGGCCGGGGTGCAGTGTGCTAACCACCGTCTGCCTCCCTCCACGCTCTGCCGAATCCCACAGGCGAGAACGTAAGCTGCCACGAGCACACACCTCCCAAAGTTTGGGCAACGCCAGGGCCAGCTCTCCTGTGATTCCCTCTGTGACCCTTTCAGCTGCAAGTAATTGTACCCTCCTCCTAACTTCCATGCTCTGGCCACCTCCCCTCTGAAAGCTCACTCTCTACCTGTGTTGAAGTCCTCTGTGGGTGTGATTTATCTCATCCCCTGAAATGTAAGCTCTGGAAGGGCACGTCTCATCCTGAGCCACCTCCTCTCTCCTCCCCGGCTCCCCCGCCCAGCACTCAGCTCCTAGCAGGTGTGCATTAGGTGCTGGCGGACTGATGAGATGGTGGGGGTGGGGACAGGCCTTCTGTGTGCATTGTGCTTCTACCAGCCAGTGGCAGTACAGATTCTGGGCTCCGAAGCCAGGTTACCAGCACTGGAATCCTGGATCCTTGGACCAGTTCCTAATATCATGGTGCCATGGCTTCTCACCTCTAGAATGGGGATAAGAGTAAGAATGACCTTGTGGAGGTGTTGGGAGGAATTGAGGAGTTGATCCCTGCAACATGGTTTGCACAGCGCTGCCCCAGAGCAGGTGCCCCAAGTGTGAGCGATTGCTATTAGGAAAGCCGGGGCTTGGTTGCCAAGGATGCTCATTCTTGTGTTGCTCCCTGGGCAACTATAGAATCACGTTTCAGAGCATGTCTGGATTTTAATTCAGTTTAAAAAAAAATGGCGACTCTTGAAGAATGTTTCACTCAGACCTAACGTGACTATCTTGGAGGAAAATGTTTATGGGGTAGAAATATTTCCCAGGTTGTTGCAGCTAAATCGATAAGATTGATCTCCACCTGATAAAACTTTCAGGGAATTTTTTGGGTAAAAAACAGTGGTTTTAATACTGCTCCCACTTTCCTCCCCACATATTAGGAATCACTACATATGTTGCCATGAGACACAGCCCAGTGGTCCTTCAGGGAATTCAAAAGCAAATAACTTGATCCCAGACTTTAGGAGACTGGAGTCTGGGAACTGATGAGCTAGAGCAGTGGTTCTCAACCTTGGCTGCACATTAGAGTCACCTGGGAATCTTTTTAAAATCCTGATTTCTGGGCCTTCTCCTCCGGAAATTCTGTTTCTTTGTTATGGGGTGGGGCCACAACATTAGTAACAAAGAGACAGAATTTCTGGAGGATGAGGCCCAGAAATCAGGATTTTAAAAAGGTTCCCAGGTGATTCTAATGTGCAGCCAAGGTTGAGAACCACTGAACTAAAGAAAGCCATGTAGGTACAACTAGCCATTATCCCACACTTTGCGAATTAAGCACCACACAGGTGCCTCCTTGGAAAGCCCAGGGCCTCCTGATTACCTTCAGCTCCAGGGCACTGGCTCCACCAGGCGGGGCCCGAGTTGGTTGGAAGATGAACCTGGGAGGGTCTTCCAGTTAGACTCAGCACCAGGAAACAGTATTGGTCTCTCTGGAAGGAGTGTTATAATCCCCAGCCTGGGACACTTTTCTTTCCGCACTCCTGGTTCAGATTCAACTTCAGGATGTGCAGTTTTCTCTATCAAGGACTCTGCCGTGCCTCTCTTTGATCAAATTGTGCTTTTGCCATCTCACCAGGAACGCTCAGAGACATGGTTCTGACCCAGCGCCAGGGGAGGTCTCACTGGCCGCCTTCATCATGGGCATAGCTCTCGTCAGCTCCTTCTGGGCTGGGCCCCTTGGTCACAGCTCAGCCTTCTGTCCGCCTCCATTCCACAGGCCCCTTCAGTGACAGCTGGGCAAGTCACAGAGGCAGGGGAGAAAGGATTATATTCCAGCCGCACGATGGCCCTGGCTTTGGGGAAGGAAGAAGCAGGTATGTGGCTCTTCATGTGTTTTGAGGAGCAGCAGGTGGGCATTGGAGGAGGGGGCCTTAGAGGAGGCAGCTGGAGTGGGGGTTTTCTTCACCTCTGGGGAGAAGTGGGCATCTTCCAGGGGAAATGGTGCTCTTTATGGTGCTGCCCGGCTCCCTGTGCGCCTGAGCTCCGGCTCCTGGTGTGGGGGTGGGGCACATAGGAAGGACTGGTGACTGCTGTTCAGCGCTCAGCATGGCAGTCTTGCTGCAGGCTTGCCCAGGCCTCCATGCCCCTGTTAGCACCTGGTTTCCTGCCTTGTTTCTCATAACCACGAGCTGGATACTGGCCTGGCTTGAAGCTTTCCTGCCACCAAGCTGTAGTCTAAAATCTTGTCAGTTGTGTTCTCTTATTTCTTCATTTTCAAACTTTTCCTTGGGTCTCCTACTGGATCTTAGTCTTTTAGACGTGGGGCAGTTCTCTTATCTTCTAGGGCAGTGATGGCGAACCTTTTGAGCTCGGCGTGTCAGCATTTTGAAAAACCCTAACTTAACTCTGGTGCCGTGTCACATACAGAAATTTTTTGATATTTGCAACCATAGTAAAACAAAGACTTATATTTTTGATATTTATTTTATATATTTAAATGCCATTTAACAAAGAAAAATCAACCAAAAAAATGAGTTCGCATGTCACCTCTGAGCTTAAAAGGTTTGTCATCACTGGACTAGAGCCTGTTCCAGACTTGCGTGGATACCTGGTATTAACTGCAATGGTCACCAGCTCTCAGCTCCCCTCGGTTGTGCCCACTCACCGCTGCCCACTGTGGAAGCTCCCTGATGCCGACCGCCCGACCCCAACAGAGAGCTTATGGTCATACCTCATTCCCCACCCCCCACCCAACCCCAGGCCAACACTACACACTGCACACCCACCATCCGCTGATTGCCACCCACAGGCTTGCTGGCCATGTATGTGGACCTGTGGTGACTTCCTACTTCTGAGCTCCCCTCAGCTGGGCTCTTCCCATCTACCCAGCCTGCTCTCAGCTGCTGCTGTCCTGCTCCAATGGGGCCGTGAAGGGGTATCACCTGCTCCAGGACAGTCCTTCTGCCAATAGGGACCCAGACTTGTAACTGATTGATTCCACCTTGTGATGACAAGTGTGTACAGCTGTCCAAATGCACGATTCACTTCAAAGTTAAGACAAGTCTTGTTTGCTTTCTGGGAAGTACAGACTCCATTTCCCGATTCAAACACACTTTATGTCTCTGCATGGCCACTCTGATCACGCTGCCTAAAATTTCAACCACCATTCCCAGTATTCCCCAGCCCTGTTTCCTTACTGTTTTCTTAGCACTTTTCACTAATATACTGGATCTTCCTTACTTATCTTGCTTATTATTTATCCTTCCTGGTAAATATAAGCCCCATGAGGGCAGGGATCTTTATTTATTTTATTATACCTGTACCCAAAGCAATTTCTGACCCAGAGGAGTCACTCCACTAATATTGATGAGTGAAATGAAGAAGCGAGTGGTGAATAAAGGGCTATGCCCACCCCTTGCCAGCCAGGCCACTGGCCACCCAAGGCTGTGGGCATCCTGCTTCCCCCTCCCGTCTAGCCTGTTGTCACAGCCCTCAGAGCCCAGCCCCATGACTTTCTGGCCGCCCCACGGCCCAGCACTCACCTTCAGCTTGTGCTCATGCTCCTTGTTGACGCGTGCAAGCAGCTGGGCTTTCCTCCTGTTGAGGGCATCGATGAGGGCATCACACTGGGCCACCAGGCAGGCCTCAAACTCCACACTGTTCTCCTGTGTGAGAGAGCACACCTCTCAGCCAGAAGGCGCCAGAGAAAACAGAGCTCGCCCGTCCACTGTGGGGTAGAGATCCCCACTGAAGGGAAGGAAGGAGAGCTCTATCCACAATGCACATTTGCCATCTCAAAAGTAACTGTATAAATTTCATTTTATAGTGGTTGTGTTTTGCTCTAAATTTAGATAAAAAAGGGAGAATATCACTTGATCAACTTATTTTTAGCAAAAGGGAATCGTCTCCAAAGTCTGAATTATATTAAATAAAATCAAGCTTTGTTTGCAGAGTTGCACATGAATCCTTTTGAAGGCTGGCGTATGTTCAGCTGTGTTTGGTGGAAGGTGACATTCAGAAAGGCTGGTTGCCTGAGGGGGTGGGTACTGTTAAGGCACAAGAGATGAAAGAGTCACTGAATTCAGGGAAAGAAATAAGAAAGAGAATGGCAATGGTCTTCAATATTAAACCATAATCAGACGACACCTGAAGTTTGTAAGAATAATCATGGACAAAAGTGCTCCTTTCATTAAGGAAAGCCAAGCGAACAGAAATGGGTAGGTTGTTAAAGTCAGACATGAACCAACAGCTGTGGGGGAAAGTGACCACATTCTAAATGAATGATAGCTTCCCCACGGTGCTTAAATTGAATGCTGGATCTACATTTTTTAAATTCATTACACATTAATTTTAAGAGATTCTTTCACTAAATTATAAGCAATGTTAAGTTTTGTTTTTTGTGGCACTTGCTTTGAGTTCTCAGAGAAGCCCCCGGAAAACATCATGTAAGAGCGCTCTCTGTCCCATGCAGGGCAATACTGGGAGGGAGAGGGGAGCTTTCTCCTCATAGGCTGTGATTTGGACCAGAAGGAAAGCTTTGTCTGAGGAAGAGGTGGGGTTCAGAGGCAAGCCTGGGGCTGCATATTTTATGCCAGAAAAGCAAAGAAGAGGCTCTATTGCTTGAGAAATAGAAGGACGTGTACAACTGTTAGGTTGTTAAGGAATTAGAAATTTTAACATGGGCATATATACCAAAAATAGGCAAAGAAATCAGTGTGAGATGATTTAGAAAGAAGGCTGACTTACAGTAAAAAAACCATTTCCGCCTTGACATGGGTTAATTATTAGTTCAGAAAGACAATTTAATGGAGGAAAGAGCTCAGGTTACTTCTCTGGTAAATAGTGCAGAAAGTCATTATTTTAGCATGTCATGCAATTTATGGCTTCTCCTTTAGCTCTAGGGAAGAATTCACCAGCTTCCAGATGCTGGCTGATCTATTGGTCATTGTGTCCAGATAAAGCAATCTGAAATTATAGTCACCAGGAGATCGTGGTTGAAAAATATTTAAGTATCTAAGTAGAGGAGAAGCATCACTCTAGGGTAGAAAAGAAGGAAAGAGGAAGAAAAGGAAGGGAAGAAGGAAGAAAAAAAAGAGTAAGTGCGATTTGTTTGTTACCATTAGATAAGATATAATCATTGCAAGGTGCTTTGGGAACCTATAGAGTTTAAAAAACTCAACAACAATGACTCTACATTCACAAAGAAGTAGACCTCTTTCTAAATACACAGCAGTGGAAAATTAGGACCTCTGTGTGGAAGATGGGAACTACTTGGAAAACCAGGTTCTTTCTGGCTACTGGCAAACGTAACACCTCAAGAAGGAACATGCCAGAAGCTGGTCTGTATGTGTGTTTGTATGTAATGGAAGAGACAGAGCAGAAGAAAAGAAATGGGATTTTCCCCACAACACATAGAAATAACAGAGAAGAAACAATCTCCCTCATCACATAGTTTCATCTTATCCTATGGGGTTTGCTGCCTGGCTCAGGTGCTGCTGCCTCAGGTACCTGGATCTGCTGGACCATGTTGCGGAGCTGCACCAGGAACTCCTTGGCTTCTTTGGCCCTGTCCGACAGCCCGTTCAGCGCCTGGGACAGCTGGCTCTGCAAGACAAAGAAGGAGGACATGGAGCTATAATCACATGAACAGCAACAAGATCAAACAGGGCAGTGTTGACCCGAGGCCCAAGAGTCCGAGGCCCCCTCAGAGTGCTCTTGTCTGAGTCAGGCCACTTAGCTGACATTGGTACATGTGGATTCTGATATCAGGGGCCTCCCGATGCCTTCCATTGGCTCTGAGTAGCTTCTCTTCTGATGAAGTGAGACCTTCTGGCCATGAAGTCAAAGGCCCTGGCCCGCTGATATTTGCCTGGAATTTCCTCATCTCATTAAGTATTAATTCAGTAATAATTTATTCAATGCCTATTATTTGCAAGAATTTAAAAAAAAAGCAGAGTCAGATGATCTGATAATCATCAACATTATCTAGCCCAAAGGCCTATTGGTGTGGGGTCGGGGCAGAAGGGTGAAGAGAGTCAAGAACAGGATGAGGGAAGGAAGGAAGCATCCCAGTGTGATGCTCGGAGGCCATTTAAATGGAAAGATAACTACAAAGGCACAAGGCCATTCTTCCTCATTAACATCCTCTTTCTCCCAAGTACAGCCCTGCTGCCTAACTCCTCTCCACACTAGCCTCCTAACCCAAGGCGTGCTGTCTGGGATATCCCACCCTACCCCATCCATATAGGGAAGCAGTTCTGCTGGGGGCACATGTCCAGGGAAGCACTTGTTTTCCCAGCCTCCCTGTCTGCTGGGGTGGCCACGGGACACCCCCCTGATGGATGAGACCTAAGTGGGAGTCATCTGGGGCAGGTAGAGTCTGAGGAAGCCTCTGCATTTCTGCAAACATGGTCCCAGTGTCACAGATGCACTCTTCTTCCCTTTGGTTCCCGACTTTATGACAAATTTCGTGTGATTCTCAAGAGGAGAGGGCCAACCTGATAAGGGAGCAGGGGTAGGAAGAGAAAGAGCCTAAGCTCCAGTGGCATCTGTGAACAGCTGAACCAACGCTTGAGGTCTCCTACCACTGGGCTTCTTGTTGAACTCACTCCAGGTGAAGTCCCTGCACTGGAGTTTCCCATCACTTGCAACCATCACCATTGCACTTGATACAAAATCCCATCACCTGGCAGCCTGGGCATGTCCTTCCATCCCTCCTGTAAGCTACAGAGACAAACGCCCTTTCCCACATGTCATCTTTGAAAACGAAAGCCCACTCTCCTCCTTGCCAACACAATGCCCCATCCACTTTTTCCTCTCAGAAAAGAGACAGTATCTTAAAATTGTATTTCTAGGTCCTGTGTCTGTTTTGCACTTATATTTGCCTTATTAAATACAAAGTTGGGCACTAAATCTCTTTGAGAATATGCATGCCAAGTGCTTGGTGGAAGCAATGTAGAGTAGGAGAAAGAACAAAGAAAGCCTTTGGAAGGGTTTAAATTCTGGCTCTGGCCCTTACTAAGGGTGACCCTGAGAAAGTTAACTTGTGCTGAATTATTCCAATGGGCAAAATGGGAATAATAATAATAATAATACTTTGCAGTTGGATTATTGTGAGGGTTTAGTGTACTCACTAATGTGAAAGTTCCTGCTAGTTAAGGGTAGTGGTTAAGGGAACTATTCTGCATTAATAAATGCTGCCAGTTACTGGCTGTTCAAACTTTTACCCATAGTTTTACCTTATCCATAAAATGAGAAGAATACTGTTACTCTTGGAGGTTGTGGGCATTGTGTGATATACAATCCCTAAAGCCACGCTGGTGCATGGTGCATGCTTAATAAACATTGACTGTTATCAACTCTTTTTTACCTTCTTCCTTCCCGCTCACAAATGCCTGCTGACTGACTGGCGACATTTGAAGGAGAGATTCCTGTAGAAGAATGTACTTTATCACTGGTGCTTTGATTTATGTTCTCAGACTCTGGGAGGCCAGACCAACAACATAACAGAATAAGAAAAAGCATAAAATGAAACTACACTTGTGAAAGGTCTGGAGTGGGCTGGGGTCGCGCACCTATGACACGAGGCCATAATGTTCAAAAAAGATTTTATTCTGACCACCTGGGCGCAGGTGGGCTGAGACGGAGAAAGGCATCAGCGAAGAGGACAGGGAGAGATAGGTTTTTATTAATCCTTGCTGGCTGTGAGCCGCTCTGCTGACATAAGGGTCTGGTCTGTCCTTGGTTCCTCCCATGCCAGGTGTCTTCTAGTTATCTGAGCTATGCTGTGCTCAAGGCTGCAAGCTTTCTGCAAGATATCTGCTAAGCACAAAAGTCTTTCTCTGCCCCGTTTTATTCTCTTTAACCCTTTCAACTTACTGAAAGGGCTACTCAATTCTTTATTACTAGGTCCCAACTGCACTATAATTTGGGGTAAAATTTTCTCCTCAAGAACTTTTTCCAAGAGCCCAAGGGATGAAGGGAGAAGAGGATCTCATTCAGAACAGCAAGCAATAAAATGAGAGACATATTCCAAAGGAGGCATTTTTCACTGTTCTTTGGAACTAACTCATAGCCCTTCTTTTTCTGAATGAGCAAAAGCTGGCTGTGCCACCCCAGTTTCCTCCCCCTTTTGATTGTAACCTTCACCTTAGTAACATTTGGAGGTTGGAGTACAGAAGCCAAATTCATTCAGTTACAGAGAACCGGAGCTACCTAATTTCTTGTATTCCAGCTTTGCAATTAATTGTTTGTATAAAGTAGGTCAAACCTCCCCCTCCCACTAAAGAATTGTTGACCAAGTGCTGATGTAAAATTATTCTGTAGTTGACAAAGAATGCTGGCCTCCTCCACTCTCAGGATTGTATCTGGCAAAGCAATAAATGAGCTGCCAAATCTATTTGCAGATTTCCTCTCTTTGTGCCTATGTTAAGTCCTAAGGATGCCTTCTACCTGGCAAATGAGTGTTCTGGAATTTGAGAAACAACTGCATTATAAGATAAAGATCTAGAAACCTCTCTCTGAAGCTTTGCTAACTTGCAGAAATTGAGCAGGAGACAATGAAAAACACCGGAAACTGTGTATCACTGGAAAACGCTCTTCTCATTGTAAGGATTTATGAGTGTGTTCTTTTTACAGGATAGTCTTTTGATCACATTTATAAACTCCATCTGATATAGAAGAACTTTATTATTGATGGATTTTGTTTCCCAGAAGCAATTAAATTCCTGCTCTGTGCTCACGGAGACGTTCTGTATCCAGACCACAGAGTAGCCCTGAAAATTCATACCCGCACACTCGAGATGCAAATATTTAGTGTGTGTTTTCGGTACGGGTGCGCACCATTAGAAGCTGTTTATAATGCCTTGGCAATGACATTCTGATTGCTTGGATATTTGTTTTCAAATTTACTGAAAAAGTGTCATGATCAGAAAGTGAATGAGAGTGGAAAATGATGTAGCCAAAGAAGCACTGACAAATTTCCAGGCAAGCGCTCAGAGCATGCTCTGAATAGCCAAGATCTCCCCAAAGGATGTGAATTGTCCGGAGCCTGAGGAGAGAAACAAAGAACCCTGCCTCCCCCTTCCCTCCTCTCCTGATTTCCTCTCCAGTCTCTGCCCGGACTGGCTCCCCTGGCCTCCCAAAGGACAGAACGTTACAGGAGCGGGGGCTCAGCCTGGGAGTGCACAGGGAGGGTATCTTAAAGCCTGTTATGATTTAGGCTCAGCTAGTGGGTAAGGAAATTCCATGCATCCTGACCAACTCCTTACTTGCCTGTGCATCCACCCAGCCCAGCCCAGCCCAGCTGCTAAGCAAGCACACACAGAAGACAGGGTCTTCCTTCCTTTCCCTGCCATGGACGTTATTCATGTGTCAAACCCCCCCCCCAACCCC